CGATCTGCTCGCTGCTATTTGTGTCTCCTGCCTGCGAGCCGTCCGGAGTGGTCCCTCCGGTTCTGCGGCCCGCCATCCCTAATGGATTCCCTCGAGGGAATAAACACTAGTGTGTTGGTATGTCCGTACTTGGGAGGAGAAGACACGCTTTAACTCTCTCTGATTAGGCACCCGCGGGAGCGAGGAAAGAAAGGGAAGAAGTGGCCCTCCCGAGTTCGCAGAAGGGGGCCCACACATAGTAGCCTTTTTCAGGCATACTCATGCTCCTGTCTACGTACCCCCCCGTGCTGCTATTTAGCAGATTCACCATGCTCGTATCCAGACACACGAACAGCGACCTCTGCAGCTACTTCCGCGCACGAGCGAGCCGTCCTCAAATTCCAAGAGAACGGCAAGTTGTACACACACGCGGTTGCTGCTGGCTACGTCGGACGGCCCGGACGGATATTCCAGCCCAGCTTCGCAGGTAGTACAGCAGTACGGACCTGTCGAGGACGAGAAGTATGGTGACGGACGAGCTGCGTTCGTAACTCTTGACAAGAAATACTGTAGAAATGTGTCGTGTCGAGGTGCCCTGTACCCAAGGGTCGTCTGCAGGCGGTTAAGCCTTTGTGCAGTTCCAGACAGAAGTCTGTGTGATGTGCAGACCGAAGTCTGTGTAGACCGAAGTCTGTTGAGACAGTGACCGAAGTCGATGTTGTTGCTGAGTGCCACTTGTGGGATTTGTACTTTCTTCTTTAGTCTAGTCAGCTTAATTCCAGAGGTGAGATGTTGAGGCATAGTTGGGAGTGAGCCCGGTGGGGCTCGCAACACCTCGTGATCTCCCTACAATTCATTCTCATATCATCAACGAGCTCCTCGCTACAACTCGTCGCTATATTTTACGTTCGACCAAACGTCACTCATTATACCGCATCTACGTACCATTGCGTACAGCAATCATACAGCTGCATCTACGCTACTACACACATCCTACAGCAGTAATGAGCTGTATTTCAACACGCCCCCATGATGGACGCAATGTCACGTATGCTTCATAAACCTCTTCGTTGTTCTTAATCTACTGTACAAATCCTGCATGTAAGTTTCATGTCCTATTGTACTCCTGCATTATACACGCCCGCATAAATTGTATAACGGTACGCGTGTTACTCATGCTTCAACATTTATCTGTTCAGTTGTGTTTCTGCTCAACAATAATCTTCCATAGATCTAATCTCTAAATTTCTCCAAAATCCTTCTTTCTGTAAACTACTATCACGGAGCACTAAGACAGTACTGTTCTGTACTGCGAGGTTTTATACCCTTCAAAGAATGTGGAACCAGCGCATGATAGTGACGAATGGAATTGTACCTAGCTATGCCATGAGCAGGCATGTCCATGATGGATTATTGACCCGTGCAAGGAACGGAGGATCAGATTGCTACAAAGAATGAGAAAATGAATGAACTGAAGATAAGCCTAAAATCAGAAATCGATTGGGCGATTAACGAAGTAATGGAACTTGGACCTAAGAAGGGTATAGATGACTGTGTGGAAAGTGTAGAAAAGAAAGCGACAGAAACAGCTGTAGAGAGCTGTGAACACATCGTGGAGGATAAATTAGGGATGTTACAACATTCAGTAATTAGAGTATTAAAGAACAGTAGTTCTTTTAAGGACAACACGTCTATTGTCCTTTTCTACACTTTTCACACAGTCATCTATACCCTTACGTCCAAGTTCCATTACTTCGTTAATTGTGAATGCCCTCAACTTCGTGTGAGCTGAGGTCCCCAATTTGGCGAGATGGTATATGCCTACCACCGGGGGCAGGCCAGTTTCCTCTGTTGAGATGTGATGGGGAATATCTTTCGATGACCGAGCGTGCTCGGTCAAGGTTAGGGTAAGGTTGCGAGTGGGCGTTGGCCGAGACCCTTCTTGGCTCTCGGTACCAACCATAAAAATCCACCCCGACTCCCCACGGCGCCCGTGCTTTCGCCCGCGACGAGCTCAGACACGGAGCAGATAACCCACCGAGCAAAGATCCAGAGTAGAGCGATGAATTATTGTCTGTCGACGGTTCTTTACTCCCTTCGTATGTGTGTAGGTATAAGAAGATACGAATATCCGGGCTCACATACGACGCCGCGGGGAAACAAAACAAAAAATAGGTTACAAAACACTCGGAACAAGAAAAAAAAAATTATAGAAAGAAAAGAACAGGTATCGCACCGACCAATCGAGAAAAGAGCCCTCGGAAACCGATCAAAATAAAACAAAAACAAAAATGAAGGAGGACGCTTCCCACACCCGCCCAAAGAAAAAATCAAACGGTAACGTAACAGCACCAGGCACTACGCACCAGGGCATGGGAGTAACGGAGCAAACAGGACAAAGAGGCGGCAGATGACCAGACAGCCAGACGTACAAAAACAAAGGCAACAGCAAAGCGAGATCACGGTACCCAACACAGCAGAGTAGGCAGGGAGGTCATGAAAAAAAGAAACACAGAAACACAGCACAGAGGCCGAAGGCAATACAAAGGACATACATAAAGGAGTGTAGCATACAGCAGGGAGAGAAACAGGGCGCAACAGCATCAGCCGGGTACATAGTTCGCCACACGTGCTGCCTCGGCCGCCCTACTCGCTTCTACAGCAGTGCCCGGTCGCCGTTTCTTCCCCCCCACCGCCGCTTCCCCGGCTCTCTTTCGCTTCGGACCTCTGGCCATACTCTCTGCTTCTGCTTCCCTCGCGCGCTGGCGCCTCGCGGACGCTTCCGCCTCCTGCCTGTGCCATTTCCGTATGAACCATGCCGCCCCGTCCTCGACCTTGTTGTACCACACCTCCGGGTCTTTGGCGCTCTCTTCCCATTTACACCCTTCCTTTTCGTCTCCCATGTTGAAGGCCACGAGATCCTCTCCTAGACGAGACACCCAGTCGCTCTCCTGCCCGCCCCGGTATCCCACGCCCCCCGCCATCGCTCCTAACAGCATGCGCTTGGGGAGGCGGCTGTCCTCCATGCGCATAACGAAGCCCGCGAAACACAGTCTCCGTTTGCGCACGGTGGCCTTGATGGTTTCCTCGCAGCCTGCCTGGATGAGGGCCTGGGCATAGGACAGGGGGCGGTCTGAGCGTTTCCGCTTGCTCCAGCCGATGCACCGTGTGAGGAACTGGCGGTGGGTCCCATTGAGCTTCGTGTAGTGCTCCGCTGTTAGGCTCCACGAGGCGCACCCATACAGGAGAGTCTCCACCACTTCAGCCTGGAGAAGCCGGATCTTGAGCTGGCGGTCGGCCCGTCGCCTGTCGTACATCGAAGCACTGTTCCGGCGGTAGCACTTCCACGCTCGGCAGCTGCGGCTCGTGATCTCCCGGTCGGCCTTCCCGTCCGCGGAGATGGTACGTCCGAGGTACACAAACCGATCTGTCTGCTTGTACGTCTGGCCGGCGGCGCTGACCGTGAACGGGCGTTCCTCGATCCCTTTTGGCAGCATGCACATGATCTCCGTCTTTGGCTCCGACACCATCAGTCCGAACAGGCCGGCCACGCGCACGATGACCGACATCATCTTCTCGAGACTCTCCGGCGAGCGCGAGACGATGGCCGCGTCGTCAGCGTAGAGCATGGCCCACAAGGCCTTCGCGTCCGTCACCACCGTCGTCATCTTCCCCGCCGACCTGCTCTTCTTGCCCGTGCACTCCACTTGTGTCCCGATCTTTTCCATGTCCGCCGTCAACTTGGGGTCCTTGTCGAACTCGGCCACGGCGACCATGAGCATCGCGGCAAAGAACAAGTTGAACAGCAGCGGGGCCAGGTTGCATCCCTGTCGGAGGCCTTGGCCCACGTCGAACCATTCCGAGTACTGCCCGTCGTCCGTTC